ACAGGATAAAATGGCTTTGAGCGCTCCACTATTTGAAAATCTGCGTCATATACACGTCGCATTTGAACATTTGTCATTGCTCAAAACGAACACGTCAACGATTTCGCGGATTGAACAGTCGTGTAGACTGTAACTAAACACAGAAGACAGCACAAAAACGAATCTGCAAGAATACTTCCCGATGGCAGGCTGGAGCACTACAGCTCAATGAATTATGATTACAAGATGGCGCCGGTGTATAACAACACAATCATCACTACAGTGCCTAGCCAAAGTATACATATTTACTATACGAAGGTCGCAATGACCTTCGCTTTAGGTTGATAAATGCAGGTGACCGAAAAACAATTAACCAATCATGAAACAATTGCCTATGACATATATTTCCGCATTACAATGTAGGTTTACGTCGGAAAACGTATTCAAATATAATAATCGTTTCAGTGTAAACACTTTAGTTTAAAGTTTAAAGGGCGGTAGTCGTCGTGCAGCGCATGTTTGATTTTCGTGTGAATAAATGCTTTTTACACGCACTGCGCACGTCGCTATTCGTATCGAACAGTGCGCGCCGAGACGACCACCGTCCTTTGACATTGCGCAAAGTGTATGAGTTTTCAAAACAGTCTAAAATGGTTTTCGCATATTCAAGACTAGAAACGTTAATACAAGAATGCAATTTAGATACCATTTTACTGAAATATTTGCCTATTGTCACGTGGGGGGGGGGGATATTCAAACACGTACGTTGTTACACACGTGCGCTGCCGCAATCGGCTAACTTCAACTTGCGTATAATGCAGTTGTCTTGTTTAGTAAACGTTGTATTCTATTATATATAGGCGATATGGTATATTTTGAGCTTGTGGATATGTTATTGTATTTTTTTGCTAACGACAAAAATGACATCCATTTTTCATTGTAGTGAGTACTTCATTGCACCAAACGCATAAAACTGAATGATCATCACAAAGTTGAATCTATTTAATGGTCAATCTATCGTTGTGTCTATCATTGGAATGGATAAACCTATGTTTTAGAAATTGATGCCAATAATAATAGTGGAGAACGAAATATAAAACATTATTCAGGAGGATCGAGATTAACTGTTTATATATCAACAAAATGTGAACAGTGGCCAGTGAAGAGCAACTTTACAGTCAGGATTTCATGAAGTTTTTTTCGATATATTTTATGTATTTGATGTCGAAAAATATCACATTCCCACACACGTGTCACGTGATACATACTTGCCAACAACATGGTTCATGTAACCGACCTCTTTCAGTTTGTCACCCAGTGTAGAGTATTCACTAGGCAAATAATAAGGCTGCGATGGTAGAACCACAAAGTGCTGTAAAAACAATTAATTTACCAATATAATATATTTTCGTTAGTTTGAATTTGCGAAAGGCAATGCAGTATTTCGGCTTTGGGAGACATAACAAAAAAATAGACCTGCGTGAGATAATATTCAATGTTCGTGACTTGCTACTCCACGTACTCTTTCTAACACCATGACGAGAAATACGCCATTCCTATAAATTCCGCCCTCTAGTGACGGAAAGCTTCTGTGACGTCAGCATGCCGTAAATGGGGGTGAAGGAAATATCGTTTAAATCGACCTTTCTGCTCGGCTGTGCAGTCGTTTGACTTCTAGTATAAGTAAAATCAAAAACGTAATTGGTGAACGACGACAGATCAAAACGATATCGACGTACTGAACGTATAAGACGTCATCGATTTACGTCATAGGAACGCTTCATTACTATTAATAGAGGGCGCTATTTACAGTCAAGTTGTATCAGCCGATAATAACCATACCACATACCTGCATACCGACGTTTGCTGGATATCTACCAGTTAACAGCGCAATACGTGAACTATAAAAAAAGAGGAATTAGTCTGTATTTATAATTTTATGTATATAACTTTTGAACAGGAAGTTTTATAATGATGCCTCATTGGTCAGATTTGATTAGAAATTTTCCGACAGTAAAAAAATTATTACACGAGTCACGTGGTTTGGCCACCATCTTGAATTTTGTGAAAATGACTTGCAATTTGTCGCTTGTGAGTGTTTCAAAGACTCATGTCCCACTGTAGTAAACAGCTTCGTAAATCTCCGGTACAATCGTGTTTTCTTCAACTTATAGAGCGATTATGTATTACTAAGTCGATATATTCTCTGGATTCTTGGTGCTTCATTTAATTTGGAATGCACCATCCACAGGTTGGAGCCAAACTTACAAACAGTAACATGGCTTTGCCGAAATTTTGTTGGAACTGACTGAAAAATTTCAAGTCGTCTTTTAAAAAAAAAAATAGTTGAAATCGTTCAAGTCGTTTTATACAGTTTGAGTCTAAACGTTTCATGAAGCATCCACTTCAGAAAACATCCTCTCAACGTCCCCTTTTCACAAGAGACGTGCCTTTTTCAGGCATATTTGATTTAATTGTAATTGTAATCACAGAGTGCATTACAAATTGACAAACTTCTTACGGTTACCAACAGTGTTCAGTTTCTACATTATTTTAACAGAAAATGACAAAATGAAGTTTCATGAAGCATCCACTTCAGAAAACATCCTCTCAACGTCCCCTTTTCACAAGAGACGTGCCTTTTTCAGGCATATTTGATTTAATTGTAATTGTAATCACAGAGTGCATTACAAATTGACAAAATTCTTACGGTTACCAACAGTGTTCGGTTGCTACATTATTTTATCAGAAAATGACAAAATGTCCGAAATTCTATTTCTCCAAAAAAAAAATGCTTCATTAAAAAAATCTCTTATTTAATATGTAGTATTTATAAGCTAAGCACATTTCTATGTGTCGTGGTTTTCATTATGAATTGAATACAAACAGAAAATAACAAGTTCATGAAGTTTCCATTGATCCACAGACCTGAAATAGGTGTAATATATTGTATATGCAAACAAACAGACAAATAATGCAACAAAAGAATTTCTTGCGTTGAATCGCCAACGACCAAACGACGACGTGGACACTTGATTCACTCGTGTGTAATCACTGACAGTTAGATCGAAAGAAGACCGGGCTCCAGATCTTGATTTTAGCACTGGAAAAAACAACATTTATTCAAAGGACGCATGTACGACATTTGTGTTGATAAACATTGATTTTCCCACAATCCAATGCTCTCTTCAAATGGGAATCACAAGTACAAGTTTTGTTCTGGGCGCGACTTGCACTAATTACCGCCGGTACCTCCTTTGATACCTTCCAATAACCAACAAATATACTAAATTAAAGCTTGGTAACATCTCAGTTTTTACTTAGTTGGTCTGCGCAACAGTCAAAATCGTCATCTTTGTTTATATGAGACCCATATCTCGCACAAGCGTGGCGCGACGACCACCGCCCTTTAAGTTTGATGCAACAAGCACTATGCTACGAGTAACCAGTGGATTTTCATCGAAATTGTTAGCGCATTTTAGTCGAAATGGCAGAAGATAGTTTGTGTTTTATTTTCTTAATTATAGTGTTTAGATGTACTTTGTGTCCAAGCAATACACCTGGTACAATATGAAGCGGCACCATGAAGTCCGAAAACGGGGACTTATGTTTTGACTTCCATGCGTGCGTGCGTGCGTGCGTGCGTGCGTGCGTACCTATATCTTAGAAATGCCTGGACCAATCACAATCAAACGAAACACATACATCATACATGACATACATATGCACATCAATTTGTTTTACGATCTGATTCAAGATAGCCGAATGGCGGCCATTTTTGTGTATGTTACTGAAAAGAATGAGAAGTGCCACAAAACCAGACAACCAATTGTAGATAACCAAGCAACGTACTGTGAAATTTTCGCAGGACAAAAATACACATTCTAGTTCGAGCTTTCCAGGCCGACAGTGAAGTACAGTTGAAGGAACTGAGTAACAGTCACGCACATAGTGACAATTGAACCGTGACAGACGCTTACAGTCAAGTGATTTTAACTCATACATAGACAGTCAGAACTTATGCCGTTCATAGTAAATTTCAAAGATATTTCGCATTCAGAGAAAAAAGGTATTGATAATTCTTTTTTTCCTGGGTGTTTCACAAGTGTTATATTCAAACATGCTCTTCGAATATACCAATATTTTTTTGCCACAATTGACAAATCAGATGTTTTTAGAACTGATCATATCAAAACAATTTGAAGATAATCAAACTGACCTGTAGTAGTTGTTGGTTACCCGGATGAACAAGCAAGCGGGAAAGTTGAAATGGTTTGCAGTAATACAAAATGACAGGTACTCTCTCATACACATTTAATCAACATCTTATCAGATACTTACGGAGTACAAAGTGGTTGTGCATATATGTTATTAAGAATAACACCATTATACGCAAGTTCATTCAACACTGGTGTTGGCATGAAGTCATTGTTCCAACCAACGTCATTCCAACCTTACGACAAAGCAAAATACATTATTATAATATTGTGTTGTACATTTATTTAGATTAAGAAGAAATACATATATACGCGATATTAATATTAGTGTAACGTGTGCAAAACATTATAATTTCTTTCAATTTCATTTTTGTGATTTCACACGAAGCGGATTTACAAAAATAAATAACAACATGACCAATATAGTCTATATCGTGTAATAGTTGATGATAACAGATACAGATTAGCGCTGTCACCTACCCGCGTCATCAATCAATACCACCACAATATGAGGTTGTTTACCGCTGACGTCACAGGAATCATCTACAGAGACACAACGTGGTGAGTTTAAAATTCTACTTAGAGAGAAAAAAAATAACAAAACTAAAGAAAGATGCATAACCTGGCATTTAAGTGTAGCTCTTACTTTCTCCCTCGTTTTCGCCTTGGTCGTCGTTGTTGTTTTCTCCCTGACTGTTGCTGTCTTGCCTTTTAGCATTATTGACTTCTGAAAGTAAATTGTATATGAAGTAATAAAACAAGAAAAATCCAGTGAGATACAATCCAAGTACACTGCTTGACGATAAACAAGCTTTGACCACAAAATGATTATAACAACGATTCTGGTTTTCTTAAGAAACTGTATAACAGTATATACATATACCCCCCCCCCGAACCCACGATCCTAGGTTACCACGAGTGCTCGCAAGCACACTGAACATGGAGGAAAGAAAATTATACTGCAATGACACATTCTGAGTGTGTCTTGCGGTGATATATACGAGGTACTGAAACCAGCATTTTTTTTCTAATTTCTTACATGATTAAATTATCTACCTTTTTATATTTCATTTTTTTTGCCGAGACTTTGAAAAAATTTAAATCTGTCTATCGTCTTTAACCCATAAAGTGTCGAACGACTCAATACAACACTCGATTACACAGGCGCGTTTATGGACACACGATTGAGCATACCAGTTCAGACATTTTATTTTTCGGTATTAAAGTGACTCTCCCCTTCTACAAACTCTCTACGTATCATAGTCGTCACTTTTGTAGTACAAAATAACATTATAGCAAATATCCGTAAAATCCCGATCCTGATAACATAGAAACGATAACCTGTTCAATAAGTCACGGTTATCTAGTAACCGTGAATAAGTGCACGGCGTGCTTTATGCAATATCTAACAGTCGGTGGTATGTAAAATTTAAAACGGGGTCTCATCTAATCACAGCAATGTATTCATGACACTGATACACTTTAGGCGCGACGTATTTTCAAATGAGAGTTTAATTTAGTTAAAGCGGGAGGGTCATCACCTGCGCACGCGCGAGAATTGAGTCCCAAGCGAGGATAACACACGCTAAGAGCGCAAATGCTCATGGGTAGACGCGTGTTTGTAAACAATGACACTCTATGCCCACCTAACGCATGCGTAGGTGACGACTCCCCCGCTTAAAGTTTGGTACGTTAGAAAAAAAAAAACAGATCTCAAATCCCGTTTGTTGTTTTCCAGTTGACCAAACAATGAGTCTGTTGATAGTGTAAATTCTGTCTCACCGGAAGTAGCCATGGTCGTCATAAATATGCAAATAAACTCTGCCAGCAAGATGAGCTTAATGCTGCGAGCCTTTGTACGATTGAAAGTCTATAAAATAAATACAAATATTTAAATATCGATTATGTTTGGATTTTAAATCTTTGAGAAAAAACAACTAATATAATCACACAACTGTGGTACACGTACAATACACGACATTGAAAGCCATATTTAAATGTGTAAATATCTTGCGCAAATTTTCACATTTATCGAGTAAACAACAAGTAAATTTATATGCGCATTGGACCATTCACTTTAAATGTCCTAAAATTTGAATATGGTGCATGTTAATTACTTTTATATATGTACGGCTAAAAGTCTCACCTCATTTTTTCCAAGCATCTTCTTGGTAGATTTTTATCACTGGAAATTATGCTCAAGTATTTTCCTTGTTCCAATGTAGGACTTGTGAAAAAAACGGAAATGCAGTAATGTGCAAGCAAGAATTATATTGTGACCAAATACATCAAATTATATCCCAGCTGTTAAATGCCAGTAGATGTCATAAGTCAGTGGATACAGAAGGAGTGCTTTTATTCTCAGTTCTTAGTATGCGTAAGAGAGTGTATCAACACTGGCGCTATTAGTACACGAGTGACTCCTTAATCGTCTTTACAGAAAGTTACTGTGTTAGTTCGCCAATTAGTGGCAATTAAGTCTTCAAAGAAATGTGAGAGAATACTCCCAGTATTATTTCAAATTCAATTACCCTTTATCCGCAGATTTTAAATGCATTATGCATGAATATAACTCGTGTATAATGTATTGTCTCTCCCATCATAGTCCCTCTATCAGACTTTCAGGACGAATAATTAACGTAAATTACGTATTTTTTGTTGAAATATATTATAGGCGATTCTATGAATAGGTTTAAAGCGGGAGGGTCGTCACCTGCGCACGCGCGGGAATTATGTCCCAAGCAACGATAACAATGCATGCTATAAACGCAAAGGCTCATGGGTAGACGCTTGTTTGTAAATAATGACAAGCTATGACCATCTGACGCATGCGCAGGTGACGACTCCCCGATTTAGTGTTACAATAAAATAAAGAACAATTGAAAACATTTTTAATGTTACTAGGAATACCATTCCACAATTTTACACCACTATGAGTCAAACACATAAATTTTAAAGTTGTTCTTTTATAATTGATTTTAAAAAGATTATACTGTCTGGTATTGTATTAGGAACTTTATCAGTGAACATAAAATATTTTCTGAATATGAGCTGGAAGCAGGGAATGATATGCCTTGTACATTGTAACAACAGTATTTAATATAATCAAATCAAAAAATTAAGAGTCCCAGGTGAATAAAAAATGGGATTGGTATGACTTCGAAAGTCTGCTTTCAGCACAGACCTCAGCACTCTTTTTTTGTATGAGAAATAACATTTCAAGATTACTTTTATACGTATTGCCCCACACTTCACAACAATATGCCAGAACAATGTAAACATGTCTGAAATACCAACTCAGTTTAGAAAGGAGTAGTGATTAAACATCAACAATCACCACCCACTGTTCTGTCAAAATTTGATCTGTTAAAAGCAAGATCTTGTCTATCCAAAAGCCAACTAGCATATATACAAGAAAGATAAAACTAGAACACTGGATATAAGTTCAAATAAATAAGTGCGAAGCCAAGATAATGCTACCAAGCAACAACACAACACTGAGCAAGCCTGAGGAATTATTTAAATACAAAGCAACAACGAAACCAACAACTGTTTCTTCTACAGTCACTATGGTGACTAGTTAGGTAATGACGTAACGGGGAACTCCGGGTCTTCATTATAAGGTTATTACGAGAATACCTCAAAGTAAGCACGAAGGAAGTACAGCTGGAGTATCGACCGACGCGCATCGGAGGTCGATGCACGGCGTACTGTCTGAGTGCATACTTTGAGGTATCCTCGTAATAACCTTATTATTATACATCTTTTTCTTCCAAGGAACGCCGACATCCAAAATGTTTAGAATAGAATCTTTGTGTGGAGTCCTGTCAAACCTCAGGTGGCAGCCATGTTTGTTTTTATTATTAGAGGACTCTTATGCGCGCAATCATTCAATATTTGGAATTCGCATTTCCTAATATGGTAATTATTTTTTATTATTCAAGCAGTTATGGTGTAACGAGTTCACCATGCACACTGGAGATACGTAAACCGTACATGATGGTTTGTAACGGTAGGAGAACTTTTGGCAGCAGACTTTTATTAATATATTTTTTATTAAGCCAATCTAAAGAAAAACACAAATCACAAAAAATACAAAAATAACGAAGTACAAACAAACATAAATTACATACATAAATTGGTTTACATTTATAAAATAGGCTTACTACATATCATTCTGCAATGATATATTATATAATTACTAGTAGCTTCGCGGTAAGTGGCTTTCGCGGTAAGTGGCTTTCGCGGTAAGTGGCTTTCGCGGTAAGTGGCTTTCGTATTGGGTGGGTCTCGCGGGGAGTAGGGCTTTGTCTCAGTAACTGGTCCTTTCATCGTTGTTGAGAATTAAAGTTTTATGTTTCTTTAACAACTTGCGCTATTCTGGGAATACCATCCTTAGAAGCTATTAATTTGCCCCTATGATTTGTGTATTTGCTCTGGCAGGAGTTCCAAAATAAGACCCATGCTCTGAAAGTGTCCATAGTTTCAAAAACCAAGAAACATCATCATTATGATCTTATTGGTGTTGCAAAAGATAGTTGAATATTGTTTCTTCAATTAATAATTAATAACCGTTTTCCAATATAGATAAATTATAGTACCTAACAAATATATAAATCAGTCTCAACAATGAAATAAAGAAATGTATATATATATATATTTTCATTATTACTAATGCATTGCAATACAACTAATTAAATTGAAAAAAAATTGCAATATAAAATATTCCGTCAGTAACACTTCTCAAGGGCGTATTTCACGGTCAGTGTTATTTACGAAAATATTTGTTTATAATTTTATAAATTGGCTTGGCAATTTCCACCCCAATTAGATATAATGAGTATATATTTTAATAAATAAAATTTAAGATACACTAACAAAAATGAAATATTAATTATTGGCCATCCACTCCGCTACGATTGCCCTTATAATCACTGTTGTCGTTTTGTGTGTGTGTGTGTGTGATTTACAGTGTTTTCACGTATTATTTCTTCTGTGATTATTTTGGCTTGGCCGATTTTTCTCAAACTGGGCAGGTAGGTCACACATTCACCCTAGTTATTAGCAGAAATCTGAAAAAAATGGCCCACCGTTGCCATAGCAACAGCCAAAAAACTTCTTTTTTTTGGATAGCTTTGCGCCAAATGTATCTCCTCCTACAAATTTGGGATAAAACACCTCATATATTATGTTATATATTCACCAAAAACAACATTGCCATGTTTCTAGGCGTACAATGAATTGAAAACAAAAGAAATCGTCCGATCCAAATCACAGGCACTCGGAACGTTTCTTGGATAATAAAAAAATGACTGACTTGCAGCCATGCCTGTGCTAGCTGTAACTTGAACTCTTTTGGTCTTCCTCAAATTCCTGATGAGTTCAATAAGAGTTTTAGTCTTATGGCCATGTCTAAACTGAACTGTTGTAGTTTATCCATTGTTATTTTTGACATTGTGATCAGCACTCAAAGCTCTACTCCACAACACTGATGAAAAGTTATTTTGAAAATTGTTGAATGCTAATAGCAAACCGTTTAGTTCACAAATGACTAACTTCAAAATGGAACAAAATTCAAAATATGAAATTTGAAAAAAAAAAATAGAATGAATATGTGTTGCAGGTATCAAAAGCAGCTCAGTCCGGTTTCTTCAATAACCCTGGACTTTCCTAAAAAACGTTACAGTGCTGTTACAGGATGTTAGCTCACTGGAGTCTGCCTAGCATCTGATCACTTGCTCAATTAAAACATATGGTATCAATTATAACTTCCTGTCATTGCATATAATGACTTTGAATGTGTACTACCAAGGTCATATCTGAACTTAAGACTTAAATAACTAATTGTATGGGGTGTCCAATATGGCGACCAAGGGCAAAAACATTGTTATGCAAATTAGCTTTATTTGAAAATTTGAGTTGCGATATTTACGTGAATTTGACCCAAAAATGTTATCGGCAAGACTCAGAATATGACTGTGACAGCCACTGAAATGCAATTAAAGACGAATGAACACGTCAAGCAAAAAAAACTTGTTCAAGTCGTGGCTGCAAAACGGAGGCACATACCATTTTGACTCTTGAGGGGAATGGAAATCAATTGATTTGAGGTGTCACAATAAGCAAGAGAGTAAATCGCTTTTATGCTATGAAAACAAACAGACCTTGAACGTACCTTTTGGACTTTAGTACAACGTCATTTTTGTTTGATTACCTAACGTTTTTAGGTTCATTTGCTGCAAGTTACAGAGCACATACCTAAGCGGCCTTCCCTCAGCAAATAATGAAGCAAAGGCATTTTCGATGTTGAAATCGCGATATTTTCCCTTTTTACGCAAACTGGGAAGTTCGAATTACTAAACGAAGTACAGGACGGCGAAGATGAAATATCCAAGTAGAACCAACACATACCAAAAATTATATCTCAAAAATGAATATTCGTGGTGTATTTTAAGTCTAACCAGACCGGGAGTGTCAATTTCTTAGTACTCTAAATATCCAAACATATTTTACTATAAGGTAATAATAAATCTCATTAAAATCATAAATGACTCTACACGGGGAGAGGCACACTTGTAATTGAAACAAGGCTGATACTCATTGACGATTAAAACTTCATGATAGAATTCCGTTATATGCGACGTATCGCGAGTCTTAGAACAATATCACAATATAAACACTTCTAAAACTTATAGCAATGAATGTATAATGCTTGTACTCACCTCTGCGCTGTATTCTTGTTTGAGTCGTGGCAGTAAAGCAAATGCGCTTTTATTGAACAGTATTCAACATAAC